TGGGTCCGCCCGGCCTGGCTGGGTTGGGTGGGTGGGGGGGGGGGGGGGGGGAAGGTAGCGATCTGGCGACTTATGGCTCCAGTGCCCGCAGAAAGGGCTCTGCATGCCAGTTGTGGCACGCGTGCCATAGGTTCGCCATCACTGACCTTGAGCTATGAATGGCCTCAGTGACCAAGCCAATAACTGGGGATATAGCTATTTCTCCATCTGGCTGTTTTCAAATTATAGAAGTGCAAGGACACTGGCTCATAAGACACTTGGAATGGTTATCTCAGCATATGCCATTCACTGGGGACATCTGCCACAAGATATATGAGATCCAGGAGGGGATGCCCAGTGGCCAGAACAACAGTATCAGAGTGGCAGGTGGTAGACCCTGTGCCACGTCTGCCAAATGGCAGTGGTAGAGAAGGGAGTATGGGGGACAGTGTGGTCCAGGGAACTGCCTTCAACATAAAGGATGCATTCATTATGGAGACAAAATGTTTGGGGTGATTAAACAAGCTGTCTTTCATCCCTACCAAAAGCTACACACATTTGCAACCAAGAGTCCTTTTAACGGGGAAATTAAAATATTTTAAGTAAGCTGTCAAAATATTTAGTTTTCTGGGATGAACTAGGCAAGTCTCACAGCCTATACCGAAGAGTCTCTTTGTGCCACAGAGTTGTTGTTGTTTTCCCTGGTAGTTTGGACAGAAGGCAATGCAGGAATAAGCCCTTAACTGCTGTTAAGAGGGAGTGTGGAAAAAGAGAGAGCAAAACACAGATCATATTGTTGCACTCCATTTTTCAGATTCTAGGCACGGCACGACTCTCATGTGCTTTAGAAAGCAAGGGTAACATCAGATACATCAGAATATTTCTTTAGTAGCTGCCCACCCAAAAGGAACTGAACGGGTTTCAATGGTAACTGACTTAATGGTGAGGCCAGGTTGGGTAGAAAGGTTTGCAGCCTGCCTGTTTTGGTAAGGACAGTTTATAACAGTGCCTGTGACTGCCTGATGATGGAGCTCACTGGAAGTATAAGACAAACTGCAGTACCTGTGAGACAAGATTATTTTCTTCAAATTGTCTGCCATGAGAAAGTTGTAAAATCTTCGGCACTGATCCCACTGCATAAAGGTTTCCTGTGCCCTAAATATAATTGGAATGAAGAGGGCATCAATTAAAGCAATCAACATGTGGTAATGAAAATAAGGGAATTATTTAAATAGATGGCAGCTTTTCCATAAATTCATTTGGACTTCAGGGGAGATCAAACACTGCTTCGCCAAAGGCCCGAGGGCGATGGGAGGCTTACCTTAACGCGCTGTACCCTTGACACACGCTCACACAGCACAACACAGAGTCCTGGTTAGACTGGTTCTCCCCCAGGTATTTGCATACTATATTCCCACCAAGACTGAAGCCCACCACAACCAGCTTGGTCTGGGGGTAGGTCTTCTTGATGTAGTTAACCATGGCTCCAAATTCCCAGGTGCAACCTGTGGGCAATGAAAAGACCAAGGAAGTTTTAAATCACTGCTTCATTTAAAACTCTGCAAGTTTTCCCTATAATTTTTTTTTAAAAAAAACAGCATTTCTAATAAGGGAAGACCTTTGGGGAAAAAAATATCATTACCACAGAATCGTTCATTGATGCAGGTCTAGCATGGTAACGGAGACATTCCAAAAGACAATACAGATGGAAGATAAGCCCTCAAGGGGAGACAGAATTAATAGCAAACCTGATGTATATACAGTTGCCGAGAACATTTGAACAGGACCCCAGCAGCTGGACACATTCGCATCATTTTAAGTAGTAGATCAAAGACAGTCTTTTAAAATGCCTCTGTCTCTGTTCTCTAGGCACCGGGCCCAAACCAAAAGTTGCAACTAAAAATATCTACATGCTGTCACTTCATCAAACTCATTACAGGAAGAGGATGCCATCTCCATGAGAAGAAAATGCAGCTGTTATGGTCAGGCCAGATGTTTGGTGAGGGTGCTACATTCATGGCAACATCCTCAGGAAGGACAGAATGTTCTCCTCCCTTGAGAGATGTGCCATAGCTTGGTATTAGGTAATGAAGCACTTCAGAAAAGAGAACAGATGCACAGCAAATACATTTTAGGAGACAAGTACATTTTGTTGTCATGTTCGCAAACGTTTTGTAATCCTTGTTTACCGACTTGAGTCACAAAGATTGCCAACTACCACAAAAAGGAGGGATAGTGAAGTGCCTTTCAGTGGCGCTTTGGGTTGTTCAACCATAAGAATTATCTCCTCAGGGCTGCGACTGAGTGTAGTGATTTTATAAAAATCAGGTTGAAGGCCTTGCCCTGGAGGCATGAGATTCTTATCACAAACAATCAGGAATAAATAGTGGAAGAGTCAACAGGCCTTCATCAGCAAAACAGTTCACCCTTCCTCCAACGCTAAGAGAGCTCAGCTTGGTGCTCAGCTGTTTGCCCAAGAGGCTACAACCATCTTGACAGCTGTGTATGATTCACTTTTCAGGCACTGTAATCTAAGTAAACTAAAGATAAAAATGCCATAGGCTCTACCAGCCAGCTTGTGTAGCTGGGTGGGTGTGCACTTAATAAATGCATCCTGTAGGAGGAAAGGTGTTCTAATGCTCTTTTCTTCAGATCCTCATCTTCATATAATGGATGGCAACAAGGTGGTGAGAGGAGAACGGCTTCACTTCATCAGGCCAGCCATTGCTCTTGAGCAACTGGCAAGCAAAGAATATTTTATACTGCAGAGTGACTTTTTAAGAATCAACATTTGCAGGAAAGGTTGCCATGGATTTAGCCTAAGCAATGGCTTCTGTGCCAGCCACCGAGTCCTGCTTCGAAAGACTCATCAGCTTTTAAAAAGAAAATCAAATAAGTCATCCTGCTTGGTGAGATCAACAGGTAGGGACAGTGTCTAATCACAGCCTGTGGCCACTAGGTTCAGAAGGTGTCAGTAAACAAGACACTTGGAGCCAAATTTAGCCTGTGCCTGACACGAGGGTGCTTTTTCCAACCACAAACTAATTCCTAAAGGGCGATATGGAAGAGCAAACAATACATTTACCGTAAGTGAACATGCGTGGCGAAGTCAACTCAATGTTTGGCAGGGCCCCAAGGTGGTTTAACACAGCACATCGATAACCGTTCTTCTGGGCATAGTCCACAAAGGTGCGGATATACTGCTTCTCACTGTGATTGGCTATTCCAGGACAAATTACCATAGTGATGTCTTCTGTATGATTAAAAAAGGAGTGGAAAAGGGAGCATAAGAGGAAGCAAAAGAATGCACTAAACTATGTAAGGTGAATTTCATATTACTCAGCATTAGTCTACGAGGAGAATAAGCATGTTATTTCAGAACAATAATTTAGATACTCCATTTCCTGCTCAGTATATGGCCAAGTGCTATGCTATTTATTTTATCAAAGGAACCCACGATACATCCTATACAATCTGAGAGTTATAGCCAGTAAAACATTTCTGTAGTCCACTGAACAGTGGCATAATCAACTTTCAAGAGCAAGACCAGTTACTGGACAGATATACAATATGTTCTGTCATGTATGTAACTGAATCAAAGAAAGTAGATTTTATCCTCTTTTTTTTTCATCCTTTTTCCCTGTTATTATTGAATCATTGTCTATCAAACATCTATGAATGAGGGCAGTCATTTATAGAGTTGCCTTAAGTCAAAGCTGACTTGACAGCTCATGACAACAAAGGAATTTTTGTCTTGGTGCACTCCCTACATTTTTAAAGGGGGGTGGGAACAATTCGTAACTGGAGTTGCAAACTATTTCAGTCAGTGGGTTAATGGCAAATGGGCTATATTTGAAAATGGAAGTTCAAAACATTCTTCATAGTACTGAAAATTTGCTGAAGCAACAGTTCCATGGGCTTGGCCTCCTAAAGGACAATATCCAGTATTATAATGAGTGAATCCCTATATTCTGATAAATGTTAACAACCATTACTCCCCCCACAAAAGATTCTAGATATAATAAAGCCCTTATGCATGAGGGGAAAATCCTATACCTGGAAGAGCCTTTGAGACTTTAATCCTAAGCATTATGTTCTTTATAGCTCACAGAAATAACTCCTTTGTACCCATTACCTTAACTAGAAATTCAGGCCATAAATCACGGCATCTTATGAGGTCTATGTGAAAAAAATCTATGTGGTGGTACCTGACTCATAACGGCACTAGTTTTAAATGCTGAAAAGCCAAACACAAAATAGAAGGCTCAAATATAGCCCAGACTTCTGAAGTGGGTGTTAACTTGGTATGCCCAGTAATGGAAAGTAGCAATACAGTCTCCCGAAACATCGGTCTCAATGATCCTTAGGGTTCCTTCCAGCTCTGCCATTCTAAGATTATTATTATCTATTTAAACAAGCTTCTCAGTCAATAAGCTATGGACTAACAGATCTTGTTATCTAACCTCTAATGCAATTTTCAGCCAACGGTTCGAAGAGGTCAAAAGTTGCTGTTGCACCATCTGACATTGTGAGGTACTTGCGGAGTCCATAAGGATGTGGCGATCTTACTCTCCCCATCTTCCCATAAAGAGCTGTCTGGATGTGACCACTTTTACCCCAGATCAGAGGTGGAATGTACCTAGAGAGAAAACAAGTAAATGTATTTTATTTGCTTTACAACAACAGCTCTCATATTAGAAACAAGGGTACTGCATTCCAGGTCATGACAGCCAAAATGTTTGCCAGATCTGCCCAGTCTATAAAAACTATTACATGCCATCAAGGTGACTCTGATATCTGGTGACCTTTCCAGGGTTTCGTAGGTGGAAAACACTGATAGGCTGTTTACCATCCCCTCCTTCTTGCAGTACTCTGGGATCATGCAACTTGTTTGAGGCTACATGGTGGCTGGCAGAGCACACAATCACATTAATTTCACATACCCCAGGTAACTCCAGCTATCCCTTCTCCTAGAAGACGAAACTAGGATTCAAGTTCTCAGCTCCATAACCGGAAGTTGCAACTGACTGACCTAAACCAGCTCCTGGCTCCTGCCTAGTATGTATGGGGGGAAAAAGCCCCCCTGTTCAGTAAATGCCATAGGACAGGAGATTATCCAGTGGTGCCTCGTGAGACGAGCGCCCCGTTTAATGATGAAACCGGATTACAATGAACTTTTTGCGATCGCAAAAGTGATCGCTTTACGATGGTTTCAATGGGGGAATTTCGCTTTGCGATGATCAGTTCCCTGCTTCGAGAACCAATTCTCGCAAAACGACGATTTTAAAACAGCTGATCGGCAGTTTCAAAATGGCCGGCGGTTTAAAAAACTGGCTCCCTGCTCTTTTCTGGGACGGATTCCTCGCTGCACAGGCAGCGAAAATGGCCACACTATGGAGGATTTTCGCTGGACGGTTAGTTTCAAGCCCATAGGAACACATTAATCGGGTTTTAATATTTTTCTATGGGCTTTTTAATTTCGCATTACGACATTTTCGTTCTACAGCGATTTCGCTGGAACTAATTAACGTCGTAATGCAAGGCACCGCTGTAGTTAGGGATCACCACCCTGCTGAGGTGGTATCAGGTGTGATAAAAATGTTATACAGTTCAGAATGTTCTGAACTGTAATCTGAACTGTTTTCTTTCATTGAAGGAACATCCATCTGTACCACACTTAGGAGACTGGCATGGCCTGATGGCAAAACAGACTGACTTTTATGTCACACTTCCTGATGTACCGAACAGGCAAATTTCAAGAGCAAGAAAGAATCAGGGAGAAAACAAGGAGAACAGCTTTATCGACTTTATCTGAGCTCCTAGAAACATCAAGTTGCCAAACAGAAAGGTGTTTTTTTACGGCACATCAAGGAAGCTATCTCCTGGCCAGGCCACTCTTCTGCCAAAACAAAGATCACAAGAACTTTATAAAGGTGGAAAAACATGTTTCGGGAGATGACAGCCTGGCATATTTCTCGTTAAACAGAGCAATCAAATGTGACCTTGAGGAGCTTGCCAGAAGGACAGCTCTTAACATAAAAGTACAATGTCAAATTAAAGGCTTCCCATGGTGATGAAACACTGTGAAGCGAGATACAAATTAACCTACTTTTGCCACTACAGTATACTGTTTCTAGGACTGATCCCTGATCATTAAAATACACAAATGCGCATATACGACACATTTAATCAACTGACCAGTTGAGAAACAGTTAATTATTTTAACACGTAATTAGCTCAGAAAGGACTGTGTTAATTATAAGGAGCATTGAGGTTCTAGGATACTTCAGAACTGAGTATTCCTGAGTATACTGCTCCTTGCATCATACTGAGAAAGAGAAAAAAGTGCAATGGTTCCAGTGGCATTCCTGACTCCTGATTACTTGCAGTCTATGCATGCCTCATTCATGATTACCCCTGAATTCTCCTGGTAGTTACTCATGCACAGAGATAAGGTACAGGGCAAGTAGGATAAGACAGTCTATGTGGTTTAATGGAGAAAGACAACAGAAGGTAGCCTTCTCCATGAACATGATAACTCGCCCAGAGTCGACTTTGTCTAAAAGGGCGGGATAGAAATCTAATAAATAAATAAAATAAAACTCATTCTTATTTGCCCAGGGAGGGCTGTGGATCAGAAGATGTCAAGGAGAACAGTTTCCTTCAGGGCAGGGCAGTTTGCTTATCTCTAATTTCTCGTACCTGTAACTGGCAGGTCATACTGAATCACATAATAATCTTGTTATAAATGATTCATAAGCAAGCAAACAAACTGACTAAAACCTGTTAAACAATATCATTTGGAAAGAATGTACAGTAGGTATGCAAACCAAAGAGTTAAACTGAAGAGGGGGCCTAATTCTAAAACTAAGGATCTGGCTGGGAGATGCACATAGACTCCAGTTCCTGTATCCTTATGCAATTTAGCTTAAATTACAGAGAACAGGGCATTTCATGGAATCTTTAGAAGTAATCAAATATCAACCAGTCAACTGGATTGTACTGTAATTCTATCCTATTCACTTGTAGACACACTCATGTATCTTTCATATCCTGCACAGTGTTTGGTGCTGCCATTAGAATTATTCATAAAGAGGCACCGAGATTACCTAATCAGGCATTAAACAACAAAACCTGAGACAAACATTTTCTGGATATGCTGACTGTGTCCTTTTTAGCTCCAAAATGTGTTTTTAACTTAGTCATGGTAGACTGGAGACTAGAGTAGGTACAGAAATAGCTTGGCTTCATCTTTCAACACTGATGCAAATAAAACACTATTCATAATACAGATGAAATAAGCAAGGCACAGCCCTCTGGCTTTGCTTTATATGCAAAACATTTATTGTTCTACTAAACAGAACTTGTCACAAGATCTTCAGATTAATATATATTCGTATTTTAATTTGCTTGTTCTATTGCGGGATTATGATATCACCTCCCCATAAAATGTTAAATAAAGCTTTCTTAAGAGATTTCTTATGATGCTGTTTAAAACACTCAGTTTTTTTAAAAAAATTATTTAGGTGATATTATTAAGAACACTTTGTGTCAGTAACTCAACTATTAAAATTTTCCCAAGTTCAGAAGATTGCCAACAGCGATTATTTCTTGGATAACACTATAGTACCTCCCACATGTTTACCTAGATAAGAAGGAAGTTACATTTATACAGACTAAAAGTGGATAAAAGATAAGATGCAGCAATTAAAGGAACTGAACACAAGTTAAATACTAAGTTAAAGTAGAAGTTGAACAAAACTCTCTCAACAAATCACAAAGGTTATCTGATCCTGCTGGAGTTTCAAACATTTTACATAATCTTTAACAAAATATTTCTTTTTCTTTTTCTAAGCACACATACACACTGCAGGGAAAATATAGCAGGTTCAAAGGAGTTTGTAATTCAAGCAGTTCCATAAAACAAACAATGGTCATGAAGCCAAGCATAATAATTCCCACAAAAGCCTGCACTCTCTTTTGTTTTACGATAATATCCTGAGTTTTTGGTGCTACAACAACTCCCACATACAGCATTCCTGATCTGTGGGTTATGACAAACTTAACAGCTTTGAAAGAAAGGATAAGAGAACAGGCCAATATTAACTGATATATCATTTATTTCTTTAATTAATTTTTATTCTGCCTTTTTCCTTGTGTAGAAACCCAAGGTGGCTCAGTTACAGGTACAATTAAATACTTAATAAACAGCAACATTAAAACAATTAAATATATACCAATATTTTAAAACTGCTAATAAAACCATTTAAAAATATTTAGAAAAAAACAGACTCACATGAGAAGCAAAAAATAAACAGCACCCTGCAGTAAAAGGCAACAAGTTGTTAAAAGTCTAAGGACGTTTTTTTTTTCTGCCACCTGAAGGACAGTAGGAAGTGAGGACAACCTGGCTTTGCAAGAGAGAGTCTTTCACAACCTAGGAGTAACCACTGAAAAGGACCTATGTGTATCCTAAAAATATGTCTGTGAAGGCAAGTAATGTTTCCCTTGAAGATCTTAAAACCTGGGCAGGGTCTCATGAGTGCTCCATAAAGCAGAAGCGATAGCAGGACTGACACATATTTTTAAGTGCAACACAAAGATCCAAATCCTGTTGCATAGTTATGCTAGTGGGACAGACATGGCATAACTTTAGTGCCAAAATGCTACTGAATAATGGTTGAAATCCTGCTGCTTACCTTAGTAAGTTGCAGTAGAGTGGGGATTTGTTAAGTTCTATAAGCCAATTTATGCTAAAGTAAGTCACAGCTGGAATAGTCTCATTTGAGTCATGGAACTTATGAAAGGGCCGACTCACTAAATCTCCACTGATTTAATGGGCCTACTTTAGTGTGGCTTTACCACACTAAGCAACCAGATTTTCACCCACTTGGATTCCTGGTCACATGCCAAACCAATGGAGTGCCATGCAATCAGGAATCTGAATGGGAATCCATTAATTAGCAGCAATCTGCCACTACAGGTTAGACCATTTTCCTTCTGTCAGCACAGCTACACAACAGGATTCTTGCCAAAGCACCCATTCTGGTGTTAAATATTTTCACCAATGGTGTTGTTTACACATTAAATCATAGCGTAAGATTTCTAGACCACAAGAACTTACATTAACTGTTGTTTTTGCTGCAACACAGACTAACACAACTACCCTCTGGTAATAGCCAGGTGTTAACTGTCTCCCACAACAGATGATTCATGTAGAACTAAAGAGCAAAGAGTTCTTCTCATATTCTTCTCTAAATTACAACAGCAAAGAGCACTGACCTCTGCACTTCCTTTACCAAACAATAATTTAGCAACTCTAAAATACAGTTCCTCTCAGCTTTATGACTGCTCTGCAGCAAGGGTGTGTTTGCGCTCAGTGTTTCAGCTGCTCATACTATTGAGGCACAGTAAGTTAACTGCCTCCCATTCGATGCATAGTCCATTCAATACTATCCTGACAGTAGGTCCCAAAACATGTTATTTGCTAACACAGTGCTCTGCCTCCCATCATAATACAGCAATTTCCCAAAAGCAGGAGACAAAAGGCTCATCTATTAAGTCAGAGCTAAGCACAGAAATATTATGCAATATTCCCTATGTTACCTTTGCCAAGGATATTTAAACATTTATAATGCACCACATGTAGAACTCTTACAAAAAGTGGCAACTTTATGATGAATGGTCACAACTGCTGAATGATCTTGTGGTAAGCTGAACAAAACATTCAGATCAGTACAAGCACAATTTAATCAAACATCAGCAAATGTGCTATGCCTGCTGTGTTGTTTCACACGTCTCTTCAAAGTCCGGTGGTGTACATGCTAAATTTGTAAGAACAAGGAGAACAGTGTGAACTGTAGAGATCAAACTAGAAGCATGTGAAATCTCTTAAGCCCCACTAAGATCCTTGGAATTCCTTGAGGAACACAGCAATTAAAATTCCTTGCATTTTGCACTAAGTTCAGCTAATTTGCAGCCTAATCTTACGCATGTTTACTCAGGAAGAAGTTGTTCTTTGTTCAGAATTTACTCCCAAGCAGTATGCCTACTTTTAAACAGTATGCCTTTTAAAACTCACATTTCTTATTCTAAAGTATTGTGTGCCCTCAATTGTATTTCTATTGGGAAGAAAGTCCTCTGAAGGTCTAAGTGGACGGGGCAGGGTTGCACTGAAGGTAATGATTTTCCAAGAATCTTGGTCCCAAATAGTTTATGGATTTTCAAAAGGATAGTCTGCATTCTGAATTGGATTCAGAAACAAACAAGGAGCCAATGAAACTAATGAAGTGGTGAAGTCATGTTACTTCCACTTAACATTCAATGCAATTATTAGCACCATTTGAGGCTTCTGAACACTACAAAGGTGCCTAGTTAAGAACTGCTTAATCACCCGAATCCAAATAAACAAAAGTCCTGGAGTGTCCAGAAGTGCTTTAGCCAATAAACTAGATGAGCAGCCACCCAGAAAGGTGGTATGATCAAACAGACGGCATCTACATGCTCTGCATCCACGACTTGACCAACACTAGCCTTAAATAGGATGTTAGAGAGCTCCTGGAGGCCTGCTGTGACTTGTTCACTAAAGCAGTTCAAGGACAAAATTGTTTACAGCCACAACAACCTGGACACTGCTAGGGCTTCAGTGCCTGCAGATGCACCTGAGGCAACATCAAATCAGAGGTTGCTGAATAAGGGTGTGGACAGGACACCTGAAGAGGTGTAGCCTGCTTTGTGTCTCCTTGCGCTTCCTGAGTCATAACCTCAATTGGCTGGCTGGGACAGAGAAGCTATAGATGTTTTCCCCACTCCCAAAAAAAGAGAAAACATCAGTATGGTGACTATGCGGGAGCAGGCTTTGTGGATGAGGAAGAGTGTTCTAACTACCGGCTGGCTGCAAATATTATTCTCTTTGAGATTAAGGGGCAAAGGTGTTCAGCTGCCAAGCAATTTTACATACTCCTGCAAGATCTTGACAATAGTCAGTTTTATTCTGGCTTCCGGCCCAGCACTGAAACAACTTTCATTACCCTGACAAACGATCTATGCCAGGATAAAGACAATAGGAGTGTTCCAGTTAATTACCCCAGACATCTCAGCAACCTTCAGTACTATGAACCATGAAATCCATCAAGACATACTCAGAGCAGGAATGGAGCACATGTCCTGCTTGTTCCTATCTGGATTAAAAATGTGATCCTAGCAAATTATTGTTCCACTCCGTGTCAAATGTCTTACAGCATGATATTTTATCATACAGCTATTCTGCAGCCTCCCATGGACTAAGACAGTTTAGCCAAATATATCTTTCGAAACATCCTCTTTGGTTTATTCCTTGTATGCAGGACTTCTGAAAATTATTCACAAATTGAAGATGGTTCAGAATATATAAAATAGCCTTATATCTAATAACTTACCAATATCAGAACAGGTATAGTGCCCTTTAGCCTGTTTCTAGGCACAATTCAGAATGTTGGCTTTCAGTCTGTGAGTCTCCCAAATGGCTTGAGGTCAGTTTACCTTAATGACTGCTTTCTAACATATGAACTCAGCTGAATGTCCTGCTTGTCACACTATCTCCAAAGTCAATGTGCATACGTCTGGAAAGGTCATGTGTAGCACTGACCTGGCAGTTATTCTTAATCTGCTTTTCTGCTCACCGGTTTTAGTGGTTTAGTTATTAAACAGTTATCTAGTCATACTTATACAGCAATGAATGGCCCCAACATAATTTTTGAAGAACTGAGGTAGAAGAGCACATAAGTTTTCAAGCCAACAATTTTGCCCACCAGGCAGGAGACAAAACAGTTTGACATGTGGTTGATTTCTGCACCTTTGAACTGCCATATACTCATACCAGTAAGTTGTTTAACACATTAATGCCTGGGAATCCTATAAACATTCTTTTCTAGCATTAAGTAGATTTCAATAATCACATGGGTCATTTATAAAGTTATGTAAGCACCCATGTGGTTTCAACATGACTTCCTGATCTAAACAACTGGATGAAGATGGGTACAGCACTGTCAACTATACTTGCAAGTAAACAAACCTGGCCTATTACCACAAAGCAGCTTCAACTTAAGGGAATCAGCAGTGCTATTTTAAGAAGATCCCAGCATTTTCTGATCCTAGCTGGAAATATAGTTTGCCTGTTCCATATGCAGGAGACAAAACAAAGAAAACCCACCACCTTCATGCCCTGCTTTTTTGCACCCAGCAACGTACGTTTGACTATTAGTTGAAACAGAAAAGTGAATAGAGGGATCTTATACCCTGTTTCCCTGAAAATAAGACCTAGTATGGTTTTTCAGGATGTTTGTAATCTAAGCCCTACCCCAAAAATAAGCCCTAGTTGAGTGAAACCCCCGCCCTCACCCTTGTGCAGCAATCAGAAGAAGATGACAGGACTGTATTTGAATCAATGTAGATTGCTGTACATGAAAATATAAGCCATCGCCTGAAAATAAGCCCTAACGTGTTTTTTGGAGCAAAAATTAATATAAGACCCTGTCTTATTTTCGGGGAAACAGGGTAGTTCAGTCTAAAAGCACGCTACTTAGAGCCTTTCAACACATCACATGAATGCTAATCCAATCTGGCTCCTGAATGTGAACCAGATGCAGACCAGCATCTATAACCAAAATACTGCATATGCTTCTGAAGATTAATGGTTCAACTTTTTTTTGTTGTTTTTAATGTCTAACTTAAAACTGCTGTTTTCCATTACACTGCTAATAAAAAGCCTGTCTCACACATTTCTCTGGTTTCTAAATATGGTACCTCATTCTATGTGGGTGGTTGGATTTGAACACAAGGAAAGAGTTTAATATGATTGGTGACTACTCACTCTTTGGTTAGAAGAGGGCATGACTTAATTAGGAAACGGGACAAAGGGGTGTCTTGGTATATGAGGTCAGGAGGGGCAGTTGGGCTCTTCAGATTCAGGCAGCGGACAATAATGTACAGAACAGCAGCTACAGCAGCCAACTTCACCCCATCAAACACTGCCGGCAGTTCAGGGGTATCCATTATTAAGGGATTAGTCTTGGAATCTGAAGAAGAAAAGGAAAACTTAGAAAACCATTTTCAGCAACCAAAATATACTTGCAAAGCAACGCAACAACCTTTTGCTAAGCAAAGTATCAGAAATGCTTTCAAATGAAAGTACCATTCATAAAGAGGCCAACCTAGGGGAGGCTCATATGGTACATATTCAGTTAAGCTTCAGAACTGTGTCTACATGCCTGAGAAATCTCTAGGTTCTACGGAACATTTCAGACAAAGCAGAGGGAATGTTCCTAGCAGACAGCTTACTGTTTTATCCTTACATGAGCAATTAGAGAAAATACGCTCCAGACACTTCTGCCCCACGGTCTGATGGCTCCAAGAGCACTGCACATCGTTCGACATTTCATGCTTTATAAAACAGTGAAAAGGATTTCATCCATGCCAAACATTTTCCTGTTTGAATGTGGTCAGATGTTGCATCAGTGCTATCAGGGTCACCAAGCTGAAGGAAACCACGAATGATCCTTGGGTCTAGTCTAAATAATATCAAGTAGCTTGCTTTGAGATATAAGAATACCAGCCAGGTCCAGCTGACAGGAGATACTGAATTAGGGAAGAGTAGAACCAAATATACAACAAGCTATCAAGATCCACCTTCAAAATTCATAAAGTGGATTTTATCATTTTGTTTGTGTTACTTTTGCAAATGAAATTTCTTTCAATTTTCACACAATATACTGTATGATTTTAAGGAAAGGCCTATGAAGCATACAGAAGACAAGTACATAGGGGATTTCTTCATAGCTTCGACTTTGTCTTGTTCTGTGTTTAAGGAGAAAAAAACACCAAAACAACAGTACTTTGCCAGCTGGACTGAGCTACAACAGTTTGAAGGATGTTCAGGGTCATTCTTAACAATTCCCAAACACATGCATTCAAAACAGATAAAACTTACCTGTGGTTTTGTGGTGTGCTCCTAATTCTTAGATACAGGAAATCAGGAATCTTCTAAGTAAATCTGTGGTCCAAGTCAAAGGTAGCCTATAAAACACAAATGACCCACGTAATCAATTTATGGACAATTGTAATAGTTCAACAATGCATGTCACAATACAGGTATCACTGAGAGAACAAAAGCCATCTGTGATACAAGAGGGCAGCCCCCTTAAGCATACTTGACATAAATCAACTATAAAGGATGCTTGAAGTTGCACCCACACAAATGCTGTCTCCATGGAGAGAGGCATTTGTGTACAGCAACTAGTTCATGTACACTTCTGTGACTATTATGCGTTGCCTCCAAGAACAAGCTTGATGACAGTTTGTACCAGAAAAGTACAGAAATCTGAATGGTAACAGATATTCCATAGAGGCAGCAAATTCTCCTTTACATATCCAGCGGCAAGAAAAATCTGACATAATCAGCAATACACGTTTCCATGGAGACAGTTCTATACAATGTTTATAATACATAATTGAACAAAATGTGACGTCTGCCTGTCTCAGATGCAAATAGACTATTCAGAAGAACCTCATATCTACAGTGCCAGAAGCCATTCAAATCATTTCCTTCTTGAAAGCAGAATACTTGTATGTTCAATAGCAGGCTAAACCTGAAGCAGATGTTAAGAACTGACATTTATTGTCCACAAATCTCAATTACCTTAACCTACAACAGCCCTTTTAAATCAGAACATCTATTATGATAGAGTAAGCCAATACATCTGAAAAACCTTCACTGCATATAAGCAGAGGAGGGTCATATAATGCAGTGGTTCTTCATCTTGGGGCCCCCAGATGTTCTTGGACTGTAACTCCGGGGGCCCCAGACGTTCTTGGACTGTAACTCCCAGAAATCCTGGCCAGCACAGCAAGTGGTGAAGGGTTCTGGGAATTGCAGTTCAAGAACATCTGGGGACCCTAGTTTGAGAACCACTGGTATAATGAATGATATGAGGGAAGAAGAGCCTGTATTCTAAGAGAGTAGGAAACTAGAAACAAATAAGGATGCCAAGTGAAAACTGTTCTTTTTCTCCAAAGGAGAAATACGGTGTTTACTAGGCCTTCCATAACTCTCCAGAAGATATGTTTTCAACAGCACTAACAGTGTTTCCAATAGGCACTGATAAAGCATTAAAATACTGTAAACTTGATTTAACTTGTCTACCAAAGCAGAGAAACATGCCTTGAATTCCCCGTGCTTGCTGTGCAAACAAGTAAATTGTCAGGGTAGACTAGTGCCAAGAAAAACATGGAAGATCTATGAGATATATAGCACAAAACTTAACAAGCAAAACCATGGATAAAGGTAAAGGTTCCCCTTGACATTTAGTCCAATCGTGTCCAACTCTAGGGTGCAGTGCTCATCCCTGTCTCCAAGCCGTAGAGCCAGCGTTTGTCCGTACAGTTTCCGTGGTCACGTGGCCAGCATGACTAGACACAGAACGCCATTACCTTCCCACCGAGGTGGTACCTATTTATCTACAGTGGACCCTTGACTTACAGACGGCTTGACTTACAGACTTTTTGAGTTACAGACTTCTCTGGCCGCAAAATTTAGGTTTGACTTGCAGACTGAGATTTGACTTACAGACTAGAAAAAAACCAAAATGGAACAAAAACGGCCTGTTACGGGATTAATCGGTTTTCAATGCACTGTAGGTCAATGGAGACTTGACTTACAGACTTTTTGACTTGAGAACCGTCTTCCAATACGGATTAAGTTCTCAAGTCAAGACCCCACTGTACTTAGGTTCTTTCCCTGAAGAATTTACTAATGCTTTCTCCCACTTATATCTCTTTTGGAAACGCTTCTGTTCAATACTGGACAACAGTCAAGTTGGGGAACATCAGCTCAAAAAAGGAACTGACTAAAATGCCAGTATGAGACAAACCTATGCTCAGGCTCCTCCACTTCAAGTAGCCCAGAGAGGAATCAGTTCCAGGGAACTGAACTATACCAGAAGAATCTTGGGACCCGTTTAGTATCATACCTCCAAAGCACAACTATGTTCACAAACAAACAACAAAACAAAAAAGCACACACACACAAAAAAAAAAAAAGGAAGGAGGAAGAAATCTACAACAGCCCATTACAGTTTTAATTAACCCAACTCTTCTTGTAAAATCTGAGGACTCTGACCCAACTTACAACCCCCACCAATTTTTGAAATCTTTGGGACAGAGAGAGAAAGACGAAGATCAGAAAACTGGAATGTGAGGTTGTAGCTGTTCTTTGGCTATCTTTCTAGCAGCAACTTTACTGCTCAAGATGGCACACTATTTATTCTGGAACCATCCCCACCCATATCTGCCAAGGGCACCAAGGTTTAGACATGCAATTCCTTGCAGTATAATCCTTATCTAGCTGCCTCAGCTGCCACATAACAAATTAAATAAATGTGTCTATCTGTACAAGAGCATTTGCATGATAGATTTTATTAATTTTTATTTAAGTGTGGGAGGAGGACATACGAACTTTGCATTTCCAAGTGCTGGATTCTGAGCTGGCAAGATCAGAGGGTCAGTGCTTTTGACGTCTGAGGTATCTACGTTCCTCCTCCTTAATGCTGCCAGGATCGGTTTTTCATGTATATGTGAAAATCAGCCTGGCTGCTCATTGAGTGGTAAAAAAATAAGAAGTTCCCCACAAAGTGTACCATAAACAAAACATTTTAACGAAAAATAAGAAGTATGAATTCCTAAAACAAGATCACTAGATATCACCTTGTGAATACAGCCGAGAATGGAAGAATTCATAGACTAAAAGCAACAAGAGGAATTCTACAGCCCAGTTACAAGGGTTTTTTTAGGTCTCTTGTATTTTGCTTTAAATCTAACCAGACATCCAAATGCATATTTTTCTTTGCAAACTGTATTCTGCGCTGCCTGCATATTTTAATGGCATTACTGTAATCACACATCAAAGGTTAGTTTAGCATTCTGCTTTTCTTTGTTGTATCCAACAACATAAAATGGAAGGAGTTGCTAACATTTATCTGCCCTGATAATGTATCAGGAAATGAAATGTATCCAATCCAATCAACAGGCTTCATATTAGAACAAAGCAAATGTAACAGTCATATTACAACAAAGCAAATAACCATTGAAGTACAATAAGATGCACAGAAATATTCTTCTTCTACAAAAGTACTAGTCGTGCCTTCCTCTAAAGCTATACAAGTATTCCTACTTGGGCTGTCATCTTGTAGGAAAAAATATCTTTATAAAAAACTTACCTTTAGTATTTAGTGTGCAGTTACACTCAACAAGCTATCTACCTCTAATAGCTTGGGGATACATACTAAGGAGATTTTTTTTAAAAAAGTTTTAACAGCAGACTTTGTATTACAATATCATAAGCAGCTTTAAAAATCTTGTTTCTAAAGCAGCTTGGATTTTGGCATGGGCTCCTGTTTGAGAAACATGTCCAACACCCCCTTGGTACACAAAGTAGGTGTGTTCTCACTGATGTACATTTCCTTAAGGCAGGTTTGCCTTAAAAATGCTCTTGCCATAAACCTCCTCTGTTCTCAAGCACCATTACTGCAGCCACTTCCTAATGTTGCACAGTCTCTGTGGAGGACTCCCTTCAGGCTTGCAAGATGTACAGTACAATACTTTGTGTTGTGCTCAAACAACAACACGTATCACCCTGAACCAAGAGGAAAAGGGTTCTTAAAATTAGACACATGTTAAGTCTAGGAATTTGTTTTGAGTAAGAGAATATGGCTTCACTTCTACCTAGATGTCAACATCTAACTACTGTATATGTTTCACTTCCTGATACATTTTGTTCATCTCATCAGGATAAAATGGGGTGGAGGAATAAATGGGGGTCAAAGAGCCACCCTGAGCTTCTGCATATAGTGCATCCAGGTGTTTTCTCTGACAACCTCTTGGCTAACCTGCATGCGACAGTACCAGATTTTGTTGCAATGATCTAGGCTGCTGCATTTTATATACCATTCTTTTCCGGCTCATGTAACATTAGAAAGTGAGCTCTGGTATACTAATGTTGATTGCTTGAATTGCTCCATAATCCTGCCTACAGGGCAGGAAGTCCAAATACACTACTTCACAATTCAATGCAAAGACTGTCACTTCTTGTAATCTTGGTTAAACATCACAGCACTTTAACTTCTCATTGCTACATCCATAGACCATTTTCCAATGTACTTTATTTGTAAGTGTCATAATAATTTGAATTACGCTCTGTAAAAGGAGAAGAAAGCAATGGAAGAATGCTAGAAATCAAACTGAGATAGTTGTTTAAGCTTCTTTCTGGAAATGGCATCTTTTCTCCAAAGGGAGGCCCTCTTGATTTTCAATGACTACTTCAAGTGCCTACCAAATCCTGAAGGGATCGGTAATCTCACTAAAACTAGAATGCTATTGCTCGGGGCATTTTATGACACAAAACTCTCTGTCCTCAATCTTTTCCCATTTATTCTTCCGGACAAAATGGCTTCTACATATAGTCAGACTTTAGGACTCTGGAATTTTTTGCACCTACCCCAATCTTGACTTCTAGAACATGCATACATATAAGAGATTTAGAGGATTCAAAAGCTTGCCTTTTGGTATCTTTTTAGAGGAACTTTTATTATTATTTAACCCAGATTTAGTTTCTACATATGGATTGAATGGCTACTTTAAATGTTTTAACTTTATTAAGGCAGACATTTCCTCCTTTTTTTACAGATGCAAGAATGTCATAATGGCACAGTATATTACAATGCAACTAAGAAAAAGAAGATTGATCCTTTACATTGTCACTAGATGTTTTTATATGAATTGGGAAAAACACTGCACAAAGAGAAACAATGAATAACTTATCACATAGAATTTTGAAGTGATCTGAATCATTAAGCGACCAAAGACTAAAGAAAGATGTATACTCATGCTGCTTTAACGAAACAGGTTGGATTCCATATTTATTTATTTATTTATTTATTTAATTTATATCCCGCCTATCTAGTCGTGGTGGACTAGGCGGCCATACCCATGCTACCTAACCAAACGTGACATTATGACTAGACTTGGTACTTCAGAACCTCCCAAAAGGAAGAAAAGGATGCTGAAACCAAACACTGAGGACTGTCACAGGTCTGGATATATCATGAGCGGCAGGGAAAGAAAAATCCTACCACACGTTAAGGAACACTATCCAGAGACCAAAACATAATAGTATAGAAGTGCAATTGAAACCAGTTAAATCACAAAGAGACTTGCAAACCCATGCGCTAAACGATGATACCAATCAGAATAGGTAGGGCATATGCCTGAAAGCCAACCTTTCAAAATAGACAAGAGCATTTGTAAAGGATGAAAGAATAGCAGAACAGCTGAAACTGCCAGGCTATTTACAGAGGACAAGATAGGAGTTGGCTCTCCAACCTTAAATGCCATGGATTACACCACTCACTTCAGAGAAAGAGCTCTGAACAATAAACACATTATAATGCTCTTTAAAAGGATCAGATATTTTGCAATTTGAGCCAAGCAGCATTCAATCCATATTTAATGTTGCTTTTACTCCTGAGTGTACCCCTCAATCTCATTACCAGAGCAGAGGATGAATACTGCTTTTATGCCCTTGCTTGTGGACTTCACAAGGCATCTTGCCAGGTACGTAATACTGAAACTGAAGGACTGAAGCTGCTGGACGGGACAGACCTTTAGCTGGATCCAGGAAGGCAAGGTTACAATACCTCTCACAGAAGACAGAGGGGAATTGGCATTCATTGGAAACTGGCATTTAATCTGCCCAACCCTGTTCTGGAAAGAAGCCCATACCACTTGGGCATCTTTCTCAATATGACATGACACAGCTGATCTTAAGAGTGTCTGTGTGTACGTTTTCTACAAGTGCATCATCGGAGAGCAGGATGGTTTCAGCAAGGGTTATTTAATGTTTATATCCTAATGTTCAATTAACCAAAGAAGTGGGATATTAACTATTTAGGAAAAGACTCCTTAATGTTGTCTGTGTGTGTGTCTGTATGAGAATATCAGTCTTTTAATGTGCATACATATTTATGTACATAAGTTTAGATACCAAGCACTTGTAGGTATATGTTGCATATATAAATAAACAATAAGACGCAACACTTCAATCAAGGTTCTTCTGTATCCATTTCAGGAATGCCGTTCATAACTAAAAAAACACATACTTGTAAGAGTGACTAACAAACAGAACTATTTAAGCAAAACATTTCTGTTTCCGCCATCTTTAGCTGCTCTGGTAAAAATATGGTACTTCACAGAATACATATGTTATGTGATATGGTGTGTGCGTATACTCATACGTAATACACAGTATACATGTAATATAAATGCATATGCATGCTTACATACACATAGTTAATAATAACCATTGTGTGCCATCAAGTCAATTCTGACCCTTTTTCAGGGATTTCCAGGTAGACTACATAAGATGTGGTTTCCCTTTTTCTGGTGGCGCAGCATTTACACACACATTACAACCACAAAAATGAACTTGGGTGCCCAAAAATACCCACACACGCAAAGATGGATAGCTGCACCTACACACAACGTGCCCCCCACGAAAGAAATCTCAAAAGCCAAACAAAATGGAGCTGGGGAAGCGAAGAAAAGGGGAAAAAACGGCAATGACAAAACTGGAAGAGAGATCTATATCTATAGATAGATGCATATAGATATATTATAAAGATAGATCGAGAGAAAGAAACAGATGTGGGTGTTTTTTTTTGCAGCAAAAATTAGTACAAGACCCAGTCTTATTTGGGGGGGAAACACGGTAAATATACATATCTATAAATATATATATATCGAGACAGAGGCTTTGAGGGATGGAGAAGGTGACAGGGAGGGGGCGAAGGACGGAAGGGAAGGGACCGTTAAGGTCATTAATTGTCCTCAGCGTTTGAGGGGGGGGAGAGAAGGAGGCCTGGTTCCACCCCCACCCCCCTTGAATCCATTCCCAGGCACCCTTCCCGCCCCCCCAAAAGACTCCCGGTGAGGCAAATGCCTCTGGACCCTTCAGTCCCCCTTTGTCATTGGGGGGGGATATGAGGGAAAGAGAGAGAAAGAGAGTGAGGGAAGATACCCGGATGTTGTGTGAAAGGGGGGGTCGCCGCTTGGTCACCGCCCAAGTGGGGGAGGGGCCCCCCTCCGCTTCCCCTCACGGAGACTGTTTCCCCCCCCCCACATCCCTCAGTTTCCCTCACGGCCCCGGACCCTCCTCACCTGCGCAGGCCCCACCTGGGCTCCCCGGCCTGTTCCTGTCTGGCCAACGACGCCCATCGAGAGACGATGCTTCTGCTGCCGCCGCCACATACACTCCCTCCCTCACACGCCTTGGTGGGCCCCTCCCCTTCCCTCAGCCTCCGCCTCCGTCATGCCATTGGCGCACATGCCTGCCACTCTTCCTCCCGGCCTCCCCCCAGGATCCGCGATTGGGCGCCGGCCGCTCATGGAAGAGGGGAAGGGCGGGGCGACGAGGAGAGGGGGGGAAAGGGGAGGGCTTTAAAGGCGGTTGGTTAGGTCGGACCGCCGGCTAAGTTGTGGGGAGAGGGGGGGGCAGAGAGGAGAGTGAGTAGAAGAGGCGGCCGTCCATTGGTTCCTTATGACGCAGTTGGGCGGGGCGTGAAGCCGCCATTGGTCGCCGGCACGTGCCAGTCAGGGCAGGGCGGCCTCGCGCCTCGTGCCCGGGAGGGGCGGGGTTTGGGGCTGAGGGAAGAACAAGAAGAAGCCGCGAATGGGCGGGATCAAGGCGGAGGAACCGCCGAGGGGGCGGGGTTTGGTCACGTGGGGCTGCAGATGTTTCCCCCCCCCCTCAGACATCTTAGCCTCAGGCTGCCATTTTAATGTATTAATTTTAAAAATTCGTATTCCTTCAGGGACTCTGTGGTAATATGCTTTAGAGGACGACTTATTTCTTACTCAAGGAGAGTTAAATGACCCAGTGTCCTTTTACAAGGGAATCAATGTTTTCTTTAAAGCACAATGACAACGAATAAAAAATAAAAATAAAAACATAAATAAAAGCACCATGGAAACCTTAACCATTTTTTTTTTAAAAATCAGGATTTCCAAAAAACGATTTTGTATAGTTGGCAACCCAACATAAAAAAAAAAACCAGCTAAGTACACAACATAAAACAAGATGTCCTTATCAACAGTTCAAAACTAGATCTTTATTAGAGAATAAGAGGTGATTGATTCATTCACAATGGTGGGGATTAGGGTCTGACTGTGTGGCAAGGGCTGAGATGATTAGATCAGTATATATGTATAGACACCAGAAACCATGGTCTTTGTTTAAGCCGATGGAGTGTGTGCTGAACTTGCTGATGTATTCTTCTGGAGCAGCCTTCCTTTGGAATTTCTTCCTGAAATTTCTTTGTTCAACTGTTGAGTTCAGGTCGGGGAAAACATGTTGAGGATGGGTGAGGTGTTTGCCCACTGGTTTCTGGATATTTTTGTTCCCGATTTCTGATTTTTGTCTGTTTCCTCTCTCCCGTGTCTGTGCAACATGAGATGAAGTGTGGCATTGCAGACAAAAGGATGACCAAGTAGAAGAGACTCTGTTTCCTAGGTAAACGTGACAATGCCTGTCTCGCTGTCGGTGCTTCTTTCATTACCCTTGTACACCTTTGGTAGAAGTAATTATTTTTAATTACAGTAATGGTATTTACCGTGTCCTGATTCTGATGGGCAATGCAATTCAATCAATAAATTGATTAGATATGGGTGACTGATCTATATCAGGTATACAGGTTAGCACTGGGTGCATCTAGGTTTAAGTAAATGATGATGATAAAAGGGATCCTGTGGGTCATCTAGTCCAGCCCATCAAGGAGGCACCGTAGGGGAATTGAACTCTCAAGATGCCTTAAACCACTGAGGTATCCAGCCATATATTCTAATGGGCAGATACATTTATTTTTCAAGGCTGCATTTGACCTGAAGACTTTTGAGGAAGACCTGAGGCATGAAGACTCAGAGAAGCAGTACAGAGCAATGGTTGGAGTACTAGACGGCGAGGGGAGACATCTGGGTTCTAGTTCCCACCTTGAGATAATCATTTTCTCTCAAACCAGCCTGCCTCATCAGGTGGTTGTGCGGAAAAAGTAGAGAACAGGAGGCCCATGTTCGCTAACCAATACATGGCAGGAAAATCGAGATAAATAAGGATCTTGGTTTTCCTTCAGTAAATGCACTGTAATCCATGAGATTTCTTCTCCTGCCTGCACATGTTTGCAGCCACCTCACCCCAATCCCAGGTTATTGAAACGCCACATCTTTGATTTTGCCTTTTTAAGCCCCAAAGGATGGACATCAGACCACTGGGAGCCTAACAGCATCTTCGCCTTGTATGGATCGTCTCTCCCAAGCAGCTTTCTGCGGTGTTTGGAAAGCGGGTGGCGTTCGATGGATCCTTGTACAAGGCCCTATGAATGATTCATCCTGCCTCATGTGTCAGGGCACCTTAAGTGCATTTGCTCAGGCCTTGCACGTTGCAGCTCATGGGTTTATGAAATCATTCTCCTCCAATGCCTTCTCGTCTCGTCCTTCGGCATGCAGATGGAGCCTGTAAACTGCCCGAGGAGGTGGGTCCTCAACCTCCCCTTTCATGATTCATCCTCGCATGCAGACCCATGCTGTGCCGCATGCAGAAACGGAAGGGAGAAGAAAAGGCAGCTGCCGAGGCAGACTGCCAAGGGGATCAGAAAGCTGCCTATGCGGTTTTGTTCCTGTTTTACTACAAAGGCTATATTGTCAATTACTACAAAGAACTTCCCCTGTTTTTTTTTTACTTTTTCCTGCTGTGTCCTTTTTTGGGGGGCCACATACTCCATGTGTCTTCAATGCCACTGGGTGGGATGGGGGAAGCAAAGGAAAATAGGCATGCATCAGATCAAGGATTATTTTGGGAAAGGTCAGGGCATGGTGCCAAGTTTAAACTGTACGCCCTTGTCCGATATATTTGCTCTGACTGGTAACTCTCTCAATGAGGAATGATTCAGTTTCTAATTTTGAACCAAAACTATCGCTAAAGTCAACTCTTTTCAAATCACTTTCCCCGACTGCATAACCATGTGCTGTTCTAATACACGCCTTGCTCTTTCATGCCGTAACAAATAATAAATGCCTTTTTAAACCTTCACAATGCCACTTGGGAGTCAATTCAGGGAGCAAAAATGGAAGCAGAGGCAAACAAAATAACTGACGGTTTTTTTGTTTTTGTTTTTTGGCTGGGATATTTAAAAAAGAAGAAAGAAAGTTGTGTGTTGATTCCAGACAACGAGGGGTGAACAGTAAAGTTGATGCTATTTACACCACCATCCTTACTCATGTCTATTCAGACGTCCCATTGAGTTCAGTGAGATTTAGGAACATTCATACATGGCTACGCCCTTAGTGAAAGAACAGAGGAAGACTCAAGGGGAGAAAGACCAACCAGCAGGAAAGCAGTTAGGAATCTTGATTTGAGTCATGATTCTGTACTTTAACCTTTAAATCTTCCTTTTCGTCAGCTATTTTTAGACAACGAAATAGCACTTGCCTTTTAAAGAGCGTTTATCCATGACATGCATCAGGAACTTCTATGCTAAACATTTGGGCAGTGGCTCAAAATTCTTCATTCGGCTTACTAGGACTGACTGCATTGTCTTTTATGCAAAGGGCAGTACTTTTCCAGCACTAAGGAAAGTCATTAGACTCCATTAGTGAGGGATGCTCGGGACAAATTGGAATCAGTGGGTGACTATAAACGGTTCCCATCGTTGCCACTGTCAAGGGAGGCTGGAGAAGTGCAGGGCATCAAGAAAAAAATGTATAGAACAGTGTTTACAGCCCATATTTCATTTACTGATTAGAAAAATGAGGTTGGCAGGGAGCCCTATTCCCAGATAAAGTTGGTTGGTATGAGGTTTGTGATGATAATATCAAGAGAGGTATCTGTCTTACTCTGTTTCAGGAACAACACTAGGCCTTATGGCAATTAACAAATGTATTATGCAGGGATATGAGACTCACTTTTCAGACTTAAGTCACACAGATGGATTCAACTCAGACTCAATTTGGGATTTTTTCTAAAAAAAATGACCTGGATTCAATTAATGACTTGGAACTGATTCACCCCTCCTATTTTTTTTTTCTGGGGGAAAAAGCTCATTTTTAATAGGGGCTCAGACCCAGAGATTTGCCAACATCTCTGGGATAATATTTCTTCATCCCAACGGTAGTTTGAGAACTTTCTAAATATTTATGGATCTTTGCCACTACGTGTACAGAAGCCACATGGGCTGGCAGTGGATTCCTGTGTCTACACTGGCAATAAGATAGGGTTCTTCTACCCCCTTGAAACTAGTTTAGGGAGTGCAGAATAGGCTGAGTGGAACATACAGTCAAGAAAGGAGCCAGCTAGACTCCTAGAGGGAATGTAATGTGTAACAAGTAATGTATTTATTCTGAAAAGTAATAGTCCATACTTTGCAGGCAGTTGAACATGGGCAGGGCTTGGATCCCTCCATCAGAAAACGCCCATAAATCAAACTCGGTACTTCTTGATCTCTACAACAGCTAATGGAGCTCATCAGATAAGATGCCTCTGTTGGTAAGGAGAGAAATATTCACACTGCCCTAATTTCAGCTAAAACGACTAGATATCCCATACTACCACCAAGCTGTGGATTGTGGAGCCTCACCATGGTCGAAAGGAAGAGATCCTTACTTTAAGTCTGCTCCGTTCTATTCTGTACAAATTTCCCCCCTTATATTGTTGCTTCGTTTTCTAAAAATACCCAGCCCAGTCGTTTGTAAGAATGTAGTCAGTTTTTCCAAAGACTAGTATATTTATCAAGGTGACTTGAGTTCCAAAGATTCTGAGTCACCAGAGAGGAAGAAGCTGCTATATTTAAAACACGCAGGCTGATCCCGTATGAGTAAGCTTGTTGAAATCATCAAGCTTAGGCATGTCTAATTCAATGCAGGATTAGAGTCTTAGCCATAGTTCCTATGACTGACTAGCATCCTAATAAATTGTCTTGTTTCTTGACAGGAGTCACGTAGGATCCTCACCGGAGATTCAGCCTTCTTATTTATTTATTTTTGGCAAGAGATCGCATCAGCCCTAGACAACAGAACTCATGGTGAGAATTATGTGTGCTGCTAATACACTGCTCCATAGTACTTACATCATTCTGTGGGTGGTTTGCACTTCTATTATGTAGGCTACACATTCCCCCCCCACTGCAAGCTGGGTGCTCCATTTACTGACTTCAGAAGGATGGAAGGCTGAGTGAACCTCAAGACAGCTACTTGGGATTAAACCCAGGTTGTGAGCAGAATTTTGCCTGCAGTACTGCAGTTTAACCACTAGGCTCCCATCACATCTGGAGGGTCACAACTGCTCACATTTGAAATAAAAATTAATGCCCCTTTCAAAAAAAGAACCAAGATTAGATGCCCCACCTTGTACATGTGGCTTTGTCTGTAAACAAGTTTATATTGCTTAAGAAAAACAATTATGTCCTGC